TATGCACCTCAAGCAGCTTCTCTGTTGTGCAAACTGGAGTGCGGGCACCAAAGTGAACTGCTAACCTGGGATGGGTTTCACGCCTTTGGCGGTGACGAACCAGAGGGAAAAGTCAGAGTGTCTGGTAGTGAGGAACACGGGGAGCTGGATTTGGGGGCACTTGGGACTGGAAGGGATTGTTGAGCTCACCCTGCAAGAAGTAACAAGGCTGGTGGAAGTCCTGCTTGCAGGGTGGGTACTGGTGTCGGAGCACTGAACCACAGCAGCACGGCTTTAAGACATCCAAGATGGTGACAGAATCCCTCACTGGCCAGGGTGATCCCCAAAACGTTATTTCGAAGCAATAGGTAAGTAAATAACAGAGAAAAGGCAGTTCTCATTGACTAGGAACTACTACTCATAGAGTGTATGAATTGAAGGGAATTGTGCCAGGCTTTGTGCCACAGACTGGGGTGTGAGCAGTCCGGCCTACTGGTTAGAACAACAGCAATCCATCCTAGTGGTCGGAGTTGGAATCGAGATCGAAGAGTCAGAGCCGGTGTCAGGAACCTGGAGTCAGAAACAAAGCAGGGATCAAGCGGACTGAAGCAAGGCTGGGAAGAAGCCAGGGAAAGGGGCAATCACAGCATTGGGCAACCACTGGCCAAGTGCTACTGCTGGACTTAAGAGCAGTCGGGGCAATGCCGCTCAACCAATCCAGTGATCTGGCCAGTTAGGTCTTTCAGCTGGTTACTTGATCCCAGGCCCAGCTGCAGGTCCTCAGGCCTGACACTTTGTTTTACAGATAAATGACCACCCTTCAGTAGTTCTTTTGGCAGGGTGTGCTCCCTAGGAAGCTATGGGGACTGATGGCTTAGGTTTGCACTAATGTCCTGCTAACAGACCGTTGTGATGTTCATAAAAACAATCACACGACCAACACCATGTCCCTGTCCCACGTTTAGAATGTTCACATTTACCGTTTAAACAGGCCAAATGCATCCTGGATTGGCTTGGGTCACACTTTCACATCGGGAAGTTAGAAAGTGCAAAAGCCACCTGTCTGCTCTTGCTATTCTTCTATAAAAGACTCTACGGAAATCAAGCGGACGCTTTCTGGCTCAGTCTAATGCAGGCTCACAGGCCGCAGTGTGACGGCTGATTCTGGATACACCGGCTAGCACTGCATTTCTCCCCACTGCCGCAACCAGTTGAAGTCAAGTGTCTACCTGGGATTAATTTGCCATCATTTGAGAGACAGCCTGAAATGCATGTTTTGCACACTATACTCATTATACGTCTCTAGTGTAACAAAATTATTCTGATTAGTTCATTTTGTGCACCCTCACATGGATAAAATACATATAAGTGGTGCCAAAGTTGTCATTTTTAAAAAGCACCATTTATTAAACTGGACAGTTTGCAGCGATACAAAACAATCACGTACCAAGAGCATTTTGATCACGACTGAGGAATGGCTGACAAGTTTCAGTCATACTTTATTAGGCATTTAGTGCCACAGTTGCAGAGTTGACAAACTAAAGTCTGCTTGTCAGATAACTTCACAGTCTGTTCTTCTGAAGCACTTTAAATTTATCTCCTTGAATCTTCATCTGTTATCCGCTTAAGCCTCTACTTTAGACAATTCCTCCCCTTCATTCTGTGAATTTTAGAGTCTAATGGGAATGTAAGGCTTTGTCTAGGTTAGCACTTTTGTCGGCAACATTTTTGTCACTTGGCGGTGTGAAAAAATACCTCCCTGAGGAACATAAGTTTCATCGACAAAAGCACGGATGTGGACAGTGGTATTTTGGTGGGAGAGCGTCTCCCGCCGACGTAGCTACCACTGCTCATTGGGGGTGGTTAATTATGCCAGCAGGAGAGGTGGGTCCTGCTGGCATAGAGCGGCTACACAGGAGACCTTACAGTGGCGTGGTTGCAGTGGTACAGTTGTGCTGCTGTAAGATCTGCAGTGTAGACAGTCTAGTGGGTAGCTGTACAAACTAACAAATGGTGATCAACTAGTAAGAGAGACTGTGAAGGTGACCAGTGCACCTGGTCCTCAACGAGTGCCAGTGTCGCCTAAATCCTCCAATGAATCTCAGGCTTGATCAGCTCACACACTGAACTACACTGGACTGCCTGAAGTGTGACCCTCACTCACACAGACTATAGCCCACCAGGAAGAAACTCAACTGCAGATGCAGTCAGATTTCTCTTGACCGCACATGCCTTCAATTCAGGAAGGCAGGAAGAAAGACTGAGTTGCAAATGTGTTTGATCTAGTTTGCAGTGTACTGAGAGTGAAATAATTCACGCTTTTGAACAATTCGCTCCCTCCAGTAGGGGAAAGGGCTGTACACAATCTGCAGTGCTAAAACTCACTTAATACTAAGTCCTGAAGGACCTCAAGTCCCTTCTTCCTGTAAGTGGACTGGAGAGCAGGACAAACTGATCCGAATAGTTGCAAGTGTCATTTACAGCTCTTTATCCAGTAGCTTTTTACAAGCACCATCGCAGATGGCATGTTAGCACTGAAAGGCCATACGTGGGAACAAGTATCCCGACTTGGACAGTTTAACTCCTTGCCAAAGAACTGCACCGCAGTGTTGCTGTGGAGGTATCTTGGATACCAACCATTTTGCTTGCTGTTCCCTGCAGAGAAGTAGGAATCCGTTTTCTGCCCACCGCAGTCATTGCAGTCATTTAGTTTATAAATCACAGATGTCTCCTGGCTCCTCTGGACCCCTCCTCCCAGGGCCTGGCAGCGTGGATCCAGCAGTCGCCTGGTTGCTATTGGCTGGGTTCCCCTTTGGCTGTTCTCTTACCGTTAATGAGGACCGTGCAGGGAGTTAATGCTGCTTGAAGCTACTCCTCTGCTCCTGCCCATCATTTCTACTCTGAGGATCACCTCTCCTGGTTGTGGGGAGAGCGAGGCGGGGTCTTAAAGGCAGCAGGCCCTCTTTCTATGCAGGTATGAGAACATCTGTGCATGGCTCTTGGGAGACAACCCAAACGTCACTTTAAGATACCCCTGCTGCCTCCTAGAAGGAATCTGAAATGTCTTGCCTCTGTTCTAGTGTGTGTGTGTGTGTGTGTGTGTGTGTGTTACAGCCAACACACCACGTAGCTCGTTCCCAAGAGGCTGCAGTTTTACGGCAAGTGAAAGTTTCCCCAACCACTTCTTAGCAGTTTCCAAAGTGCAAATAGTGCCTGGGTTGTAGAAAGCTATAACGGAGAGATGGCAGGGGGCAGGGACGGAGCCATTAGTGTCCCTTGGACAGCTACTTGTGGACTCGGTAGAACTGGTCAGGAATTGTCCGCCAGAACAGGGTTGCAAATGCTGATTTGTCTAGCCCAAAATGTTTCACAGACACGTGGCAGGTTCAGTTAACGTTCATCACAGCACAGGTGCAGTTTGGAACGAAACCTCCCTGGTTCCCTGACGGCTCACCCGGCAGGCTGCTCGACATCCAGGGCGTCCAGGGGCTGCAGCTCCGAGGCTGCACCAGAGTTGGGGACTGTAGGGTCTCCAAACTCCCTGCTGCTGGGCTGGGAGCTTGGTGGCCCTGAGACCCACGCCTGGGCTTGGGCTTGCGAGGCTTCCAACTTCCTCCCTGGAGCTGGGAGCCCTCGGGTTGGGCTTGCAGGGTCCACGCCCTGCGGCCCCAGAAGTGCAGACCCTGCAAAGCCAGGCAGCTGCTGAGTAAAACTGACATGATTTCACGGCTGCTGGTTGATGGTGGGCAGCTGCGAAACTGACATCAATCATGTTAATTTCACTCAGCAGCTGACCAGGCCTGAGGAGTATATTTCCTCTTGGAAACACCTCCTGTCCCTAGTCCCACAATGAAAATTCCTAGGAATTTCCTCTCCCCTGGAAAGGCTGAAAATTTTAAGTTTTGTTTCAAATTGGACTGAGCCCCATGCTGGAAATGTCAATTTCCCACGGCTGGAGTTTTAGTCCTTGGGCCCCAATCATTCCCGGCAGCACCTGCAGGTCTGTTACACCTCCCTGCACTAGCCCGGGACACTGTGCATTAGTCTAGGCCCCCGAGGGGTGAATCGCCCCCGTGTTACCATTACTGGCCTCCAGCAGGTTCCCATTGAGGATTGGTCTTTGCCCCTGTCTGGGGTTCTTAGGTGTGTCCTGGGCAGCACCTGCTGCGGGAAGGAGCTAAACCATCATTTTCCTGCCATGTCCAACAGTGCTAGTGCCTCACCTTTAACCTCACCCTCTCCTGGGCAGTGAGCACAGGCCTGCTCCAGGGTCAGTGGGTTCCTTTGCTTATTAAATGGTAACGATTAGAAATGGGTCAAGGGTTTGTGTTAAGGCAGAAGTAGCAACAGGCTAGAAATGAATTCCGCATCGCTGACCGTACGGCAGGTGAGTGGGTGGAGGGAGGGGGTTATAAAACCCAGTCTCGTAACCTGCGCTGGCTCTTAATCTCTCCTTCGGGGGGGTCAATTCTCCTTTACATTTGGTGCTTAAATGTCAGGGCTTCCCCTCGCATGTCTACAGGTAAAGATGCTGCAGGTGATTTTAGAAGCGTGTGCTGTGCCCACCATGAGGGCTTACAGAACATTGAACAAACCAGCAGCAGGCAAAGATAAAACCCACCTGCCCAGTTTTTACCACCCCCATCCCTTGAAGAAAGGTCACCCGAGCCATCAGAGTTGCCATACTGATCAGAACCGTGGTCCTTCGAGGCCAGTGTTCTGTCTCTAGCAGTGGGCAGCACCAGATTCCTCAGAGGAAGATGCAGGGTAGGTACGGACAAACTGCCCCCCCCCCGATTATCTCACCCCAACCTCTAGTACTTAAACAATGGCCTTAAGTCCTGAAACATGAGGTTTATCTCCATTGCAATACTTCAGCATTACTATTGCAACTGAATATTCTTATCTCTGTAGATGTCCAATCCATCTTTGGTTCTTTTAATCACTTTAGCAAGATCCAAATAGCACAAATACCTCTCCCTTGAATCTTGTCCTAAAAGTCCAGCTCGGGCTCTGGTGGAGAACCGCAAGACCGGACGACGTTCCAGCCCCTCTGTCGTCAAACTTGGAGTAGCACTTGTATTGTGGTAGCACCTATAAGATCCATACCAGGCGCAGGGCCCCAGCGTGCGAGCTGAATGCACAGGTGTGACTGGCCTTTTCCCACAGAGATTAGTCTGTTTTCCCCAGTGTGCTAGTGTACAGTTGTAAGTAAGACATTTTAGGCTTCAGGAGCTGTTGCTTCGGTTCCAATTTTGTTGATTGAGGCGGCATTCGATGCTTCGGCACGGAGTCTCTTGTAGTCGGTGTGGAAGAAGATGACATAGAAGCAGGCTACAACACTGCATGCTCCAGCCATCACCAGTGTGGAAACTATATACAAAGAAATAACCACATTAGAAAGTGAATGCCCACTTCAAACTCTTTCTGCTCTGGATCTAGGTGGTGGTTTTCCAGAAGAGATGCAGAATTAAGTCCTCAACTATATCATCTAAAATCCTATGACACCAACAGTATAGGAATGCTAAGTCCCATATCTTGCTCAAATTTACAAGTGGGTAAGATTCTCCTTTCCATTTTCAGAAAGTCTTCACCTCCCCTGTCAACACTGTTGATACAGAAAGGTTTGTGCCTTCCACCCCAGAGACAGCTGCATTTCAGTAGTGGGTGAGTCATCCATACACACACACAATACAGTGCTTTGCGATTCTTCTGGATGTTGGCATATAATACACCATATTAAGGTGCTCTCCCTTCTAATTTGGACCTTCATAATTCTATCTCCCATGTATAGGTTCTGTAACTATGTGAGAGCCTTCCAGTATAACTGCCTTTCCACAAGGTGCGCATAGCATATTTTACAATGGGGAAAGCCTGGAAAATGTTCAAAATGCAATAGCCACATTTCAGATGATTTTAAAACCTTGGACTGGATCCTAAACAACTCCCTGTTCTTATAACTCTTTTTTAAAGGTAATTTCCTGGTTCATTTTTAAGACGTAAAACATTCTATGCTGTGTGTAACATCCCCATCGTGAGGGTAATTAACCATTGGAACAACTTTCACCAAAGCCTCGACGTTTCGTTTGTGAAATCTGACAATATCCAATGCCTAATTCCCTTCCATTTGGAAATGCATAACTTTTAAGATGGGGTGTTAAGATGTGGACCTAGCATATGCCTCCATCATCTCATGCCTTGCTCTGGAAGCATCACATGAGGAAGGTGCTAGTCATCTCCTGTACAGTATGTGGGGGTGGGAGGCGGACAACCGGGGTGGGGCATGATTCTTCCGACCACCACCAGGACCCAGCACTTGGTGCCAGTAACCCCACTTCCTCTCTCCCTAGGATAACTGCTTTCTTCTGTTACCTGCTAAGGCAATACGTTCGGTAGTTCCGGCAGCAGAATTTTGTGCTGAAGATTCCGGGGTCCAACTCTGCTCTCAGATTCAAGAGACCCCTGCAATCGGCTAGTCTGACTTCCTGCTGCCATAGAACTTCCACAAAATGATGAAGCTACTCGAGCGGAGCTTTTAGAAAAACATCCCGTCTTGATTCAAAAATTGCCAGTGAGAGAGAATCCACCATGACCCTCAGTAAGTTATTCCAGTGGTTAATTACCCTCCTGATGGGGATGTTTGTGTGTGTTACAATCATGACTGGTGTGGAGAAAGTAAATAAGGAAGTGTTATTTACTCCTTCTCATAACACAAGAACAAGGGGTCACCAAATGAAATTAATAGGCAGCAGGTTTCAGACAAACAAAAGGAAGTATTTCTTCACACAACGCACAGTCAACCTGTGGAACTCTTTGCCAGAGGATGTTGTGAAGGCCAAGACTATATCAGGGTTAAAAAAAGAACTAGATAAGTTAATGGAGGATAGGTCCATCAATGGCTATTAGCCAGGATGGGCAGGAATGCAAAACTGCTGCACTTCGTAGAATGTTTACTTTTTAAAAATAAATTAGGAAATTGCATTAGAAAAACTGTTATAAGAAAGGAGTTGATTAGGGTGCGTTTAAAGCACTAAAAAATTAGGAAATGCCAGAATCAAGGTTGCCTGTGCAACCTTAATTCTGCCCCTTGTGTGTATGCATTATGATAGTCTAATTACATGATCACACTTTTTCCCACAGGACCCCTGCCTCATTCAGTGCACAGGATGGATACCCAATGGGCAGAACTAAGGTTACACAGGCAATTAAATCTAGCGTTCCCCACCTTTGGCCTGCTTGACTTTGCAACCCAAACACTCCTGTAATGCAGTTTGTTCTATAACACAAAGGGACAGTTTCCGGGCTATACAGGCCAACTATGCTTTCAGCTAAATGCACTTTGTAGCTATCAGCCGCATGCCCAACTTTCACCTCAGGAAGGCGATGCTGGGATGGAAGAACAAAATCTATTCATTTGTCAGTCGGCAGCCATTTTGAGGAAGACTAGAGCTAGCTTGTGCCCTGGCACACTGGTGAAAGACTAGAGGAATTCCAAAGGGATTCATCTGTCTGTACAGCAATGGATTCGAGAGCAGAGGGGCACAATGCAAGGAATGAAAAATACCCAGTGCACAGCCGGAGGGCACTCTGGAACGGTTCCTACCTCCATCACAGCCAAACCAGTTTTCATTGAGACATAACTGCCCATTATGCTGAATATAGCATAAGTGTCAAGGAATGGTGTGTGTGTGTGTGTGTGTGTGTGTGTGTGGAATGTTGTAGAAAAACTGTATCTCGCCACAGAAAAACCTGGGCATATGCATTGTTTCTAACTTATCACAAGAGACATAGTTCAGGGTGCACATGCAATCATCTCTTTGGGATCTCCTGACCAGCTCGGCCCCCACCCCACAAAAATGACCATTAAACACGCTGTCTAAAATTGATTGGCCCTGGAAACAAAATGACCGTATTGCCCTTAGGAGGCTGCCACACTGAGAAAATACTTACCTGCTTTTTCTGCAGCGCCTCCCGCCTGTATAAAAGCTCTAGGGTCGACTGGGCTCAGGCGTTCTCAGCATGAAATCTCCCTTTGTACTAACATGAATGGACTGATACATTGCAGGGCAGAGATGGAACAGCAACGACTCTTTTACTGGGCGCATTAGATTTGAGGAGACGCCATTCACTTGTGAACAAAAGACCCGGATGATTTTATTGTCTGCTCTGGGGTTAACCCTAGTTTGTGTCATCGCTGTAGGACTGCTGGCAGGTCCAGTATCTGCTTCAGGTTTTCCTTCTCCCGGCCTGTCTACTTCTAGCTGGTGAGGGACACTAGGGTCCCACATGTTTCTTTATGAAGTTGTCATGACAAGCCATGCAGCTGCAGCACTGGGGGATGTGGAGTTTATCTATCCTAGTAGATTATGAAGACCGAGTTAGTGGCACATTGGGAACAGCATCAGCTAAAGGGGTTGCAGGGCTAAGGTTTCATAGAGCCGGGTTCCCTAAGCTGCTCTGCAGCTCCTAATCGAGCTCACCCCCCATTGCAGCACGGCAGACTACACCGCCATCGCTCTTCTTCCCAGGAAGCTCCCTCAGCTACTGTTGCTAAGGGCATGGCTACACTTGCGAGTTAGAGCACATTAAAGCAGCCCTGTGCGCTCTAACTCACGACCCGACCACACTGGCAAGGCACGTAGAGCGCTCTGACTCTGTGGCTACAGCGCTCCTGGTAATCCACCTCGGCGAGAGGCATAACACTTGGTGCGCCCTGGCTGGAGCGCCGCAGCACCAGTGTGGACGCCCTGCTCTGTTAATGCGCTCTGATCGGCCTCCAGAAGTGTCCCAGAATGCCTGTTCTAGCCACTCTGGTCATCACTTTGAACTCTACTGCCCTGCCCTGAAGTGACCAACCGTCAGACCCATCCTTTAAATTCTCTGGGAATTTTGAAATTCCCCTTCCTGTTTGCTCAGCCAGGTGTGGAGTGCTCTCAGCGCATCTTTCCAAGTGACCATGCCTCCACTCACCAGGCGATCCCAGTATGGAGCAATGGCGAGGTGCTGGATCTCATCAGTGTTTGGGGGAGGAAGCTGTCCAGTCCCAGCTGCGCTCCAGCCGTAGGAATTACGATACCTTCGGGCAGATATCAAGGGACATGATGGAAAGGGGCCATGACCGGGACGCAGTGCAGGGTTAAAGTGAAGGAGCTGCAGAATGCCTACCACAAAGCACGGGAGGCAAACCACTGCTCCGGTGCTGCCCCCACGACCTGCTGTTTCTAAAAAGAGCTGGATGCAATACTGGGGGGCGACCCCACCTCCACTCCGAGTACCACCATGGACACTTCAGAGCCCAGTTCAACAAGGCAGGAGGAGGAGGAAAGCGGGAGCGAGGGTGCCGAGGAGGAGGAAGACACCCCGGCATCCCTAGATGCATGCAGCCAGGAGCTGTTCTCAAGCCAGGAGGAAGGTAGCCAGTCGCAGCAGCCAGTGCTTGGGGAAGGACAAACACCAGAGGAGGTGCCCGGTAAGCAGCTTTTATTTTGGGAAGGAAGTTATTCGGGGCGGGCTCTTGGGGCGAGGAGGGTTAGGGCTGCATGCACACCTAGATGCAGAATAAGGTGTTGATGTGCTCTCTCACATCGCGGTAATCGGCCTCAGTGATCTCTTCAAAGGTCTCATCCAGAACTTGGGCAATGCGCTTGCGCAGGTTCCTTGGGAGAGCCACTGTGCTCCTTGTCCCAGTCAGGCGAACATGTCCGCGCCACTGTGCTATGAGGGGTGGAGGGACCATTGCTGCACACAGGCAAGCTGCATATGGGCCAAGGCGGAAGCCGTATTGTAGTAGAAGACCCTCCCTTGCTTCCCAGGTCACCCTCAGCAGCGAGATATCTTCCAGGACCAACTCCTGTGGAAAATGTGGGGAGAGTGTTCAGTATAGGGGCCCCCTGCAGCTGTTGGCTCTCCCCAAGGCACAGAAACCCAGAGGACAGTACGGCCGTGAAAGAATCAGTCCCCCTTGCCCCTGTGCTTACTCACCATTTTGGGGCTCCTGTGGGTTATGTGCACTCGCTTTGGGACGGGCAAATTCTGCTATTGTGTAGACTGTGCTTGTCTTTAAGTATGGGCAAATTATTGCTCTGCTTTCAGAATCAAATTGCTCCCTCAAGGCATCCCTAATCCTTGCAGCCCCGCGCTGGGCCCCTCTAATAGCCCTGCTCTCTGGCTGTTCAAATTCAGCCTCCAGGTGTTGAACCTCCGAGTTCCATGCCTGAGTGAAGCTTTCACCCTTCCGTTCACAAATGTTATGGAGGGTACAGCACGCGGATATAACCGTGGGAATGCTGTTATTGGCCAGCGGCCCTTTAAACAGCCAAAAGCATGCTCCACAGTCATTCTGCACCGACTCAGCCTGTTGTTGAACCGTTCCTTGCTGCTGTCAAGGCTCCCTGTGTAGGGTTTCATTAGCTGCGGCATTAAAGGGTAAGTGGGGTCTCCAAGGATCACAATGGGCATTTCGACTTCCCCTATGGTGATCTTCTGGTCTGGGGAAAAAGTCCTGGCTTGCAGCTTCCTGAACAGGCCAGTGTTCCGAAAGATGCGTGTGTCATGCACCTTTCCGGGCCAGCCTGCGTTAATGTCAATGAAACGCTTGTCAGTGATCCACAAGCGCCTGGAGAACCATAGAGAAATACCCCTTCTGATTTATGTACTCAGAGGCTAGGTGGGCTGGTGCCAGAATTGGAATATGCGTCCCATCTATCGCCCCTCCGCAGTTAGGGAAACCCATTTGTGCAAAGCCATCCACAATGTCACGCACGTTGCCCAGAGTCACGGTTCTTCTGAGCAGGATGCGATTAATGGCCCTGCACACTTGCATCAACACGATTCCAACGGTCGACTTTCCCACTCCAAACTGGTTCGCAACCGATCAGTAGCTGTCTGGAGTTGCCAGCTTCCAGATTGCAATAGCCACCCGCTTCTTCACCATCAGGGCAGCTTTCAATCTCGTATCCTTGCGCCGCAGGGTGGGGGCGAGCTCATCACACAGTACCATGAAAGTGGCTTTCCTCATCTGAAAGTTCTGCAGCCACTGCTCAACATCCCAGACTTGCAGGACGATGTGATCCTACCACTCAGTGCTTGTTTCCCAAGCCCGAAAGCGGCGTTCCACAGTGGTGAGCATGTCCATGAATGCCACAAGCAATCTCGTGTTGTATGCGTTACTCGAGTCGATATCCTCATCGGAGTCCTCACTGTCAGTTTGGATCTTAAGGAGTAACTCGACTGCCAAACGTGACATGCTGGCGAGACTCGTTAGCATATTTCTCAGCACTTCGGGATCCATTCCTGCAGACCGAAAGGGAAGACAGAGTGCGCAGCACAAAACGTTGAAAGATGGCACCAAGTGTGGACGGAAGCACAGGGATTGCTGGGATGTGAACCAATGCATCATGGGGCGTTGGGACAGGACCCAGAATGCTCCACACCTCCTGCCCCCTTCCCACAAGCCACAGCGCCAGAATGGGAAGAGGTGCTCTGTGGGATAGCTGCCCATAATGCACCGCTCCCAATGCCGCTGCAAGTGCCAGAAATGTGGCCACGCCAGTGAGCTGTCAGCTGTCAGTGTGGACAGACTGCAGCGCTTTCCCTCCTGCGCTGTCCGAAGGCTGGTTTAACTCAAAGCGTTCTACATCTGCAAGTGTAGCCATGCCCTAATAGCGTGTCAGCTAGCTCCCGCTCGGACTGCCCATGGTCAGCCCATCTCATCCCCTTGCCACTCCTCACTCCACTATTCCAGCTTCCCTGTTCCCCCACCCCCGGAACTTCATCCCTCACCACTAGTTTGTTCCCCTTTCCTGATTGTTATGATTTCTGGAAAAAAGGGGTCAATCTTTAAATGCATTCTTTTGGGAATCTGCAAAGTGACTGAATACAGTGTCAGAAGCTGGGGATGAGTCACAGGGGATGGGTCACTTGATGATTACCTGTTCTGGCACTGGCCACTGTCAGAAGACCGGATACTGGGCTAGATGGACATTTGTCTGACCCAGTATGGCCGTTCTTATGTTCAATAATTGGCTTGAACATAACCAGAGCTGCTTCTCCCCCCTGACCCCATTCTGGAGTGTCCAGATCTCATGAACGTCTTTTTACTAGCTCAGTCAGAAACAAACCTGCATTTTTGGAAATCTGAAGTTGAATCTGGGTGCTAATCCAAATGGAAGGTAGGGATGGTCACCCATCTCTCCATTACATACAGTGCAGAGCTGTTTTAACTGCAAAGATTTACAAGGACAAGGGAACTCTGAGCTGGTAGAAAATTTCCACATGAAGTTGTTCCAAAAATAGCCTTTTTTAAAAGAAGTTCCATGAAAATGTGATGACTTTTTTTTTTAAATGTTTTTAATTAAATTGCCAAAACTTCAAGTTTTGGAGTAATTGAAATTTCAGTAAATCAACAGTTAAACGTCAATAAGACAAACCGGGTCTGTTCTGAACCTTGCCAAATGGAAAGAGCTTCAGAATTTCTCCATCATGTTTATATTTCAGCCAGCTCTAGTCCAAACTATTTAAGTAGACTGGAGATTCATTGGAGGTGACATCTGCCTTGCTCAGATGCTTTCACCAGCACCATTGCTGCAGTGAACAAGTGGGCAGTTGCTGCTTGGTCTTGCATAGGTAGCCATTAGCCTTGAGACTGGCATGTTTATGTTCTGCTCTGCATCCAAACAATGCAACGTCTAAAGCTTTCTAAACTTTAGCAGATTAAAGGTATGTTGACGCTGCAGTAAAACAAGTGTTAACTTCTGTTAGCTGACTCAGGTTCAAGTAGAAATGAAGACACAGCAACTGGGTTTTAGCTTGGGTTAGCACATCAAGTTAAAGCCTACAGGGTTGGACGCAAGCTACTAACCCAAAGCAAGAGCCAAATTGCCATGTCTTCGCTGTGATTTTACTTGATGTGCTTCCTTGGGCGACTCTTGCTCCGTTTACCTGTCTTTACCTGGGGCGATATCACCTGTTGTGCCATATTTCAGCGGTGGTGTGAAAATTCTTTGAACATAATGCACCATGTTCTGTTACACTTAATTAATGCTGGACACTGCCGGGGACTCGTCAGAACTGCAGTGTCATTTCAATGCTAAGTTGAGCATTTTGTACTCATTGAATTGCAAGGGAAAGTTGCGCTGTATCTATCAGAAACAGTCCTCCTTCCTGCCAGCTAGTCAAGGGTCTGACTTTCATCCTCAGGTTAATTATTTAATTCCCCTCTGTCATAGAAAGGCTCAATTGTAATATTTGCCTGTTCTCACCTGCTCATATGTAAATGAGGTTTCAGAAAATCTCCACCGTGCTTCTACTCGGGAGAATATGGAGGTGGATGCTACCCCTAGAGTCAGACCAGATGCAACTTTTAAACGGATTAAATGTTTAATAATTGATCCTTTTCGCTGGACCAATTTTCCCTCCCTGACAGCAGCCGCTGCAGTTTCTTCTATACTTTGGTCCATGAATTCAGCTTCCACCCTTTTGACGGGAAGTAGCAGGATATTTTGGCCTCACTCGACTGACAGGTAGTTTCATTAACTTAATGAAGTGGTTTTCAAACTTGGGAGTACACAAGCTTTTGTCAGGGAGTATGCAAGAAAAATCTTGTAATGGTGGATTTATCCCTTACAGACCTTCCCCCCCCCCCATTTTCATAGGTATATTATGACTCTATCTTAGATAGGGGTACGCGGTAGACTATATTATTTGTTAGGGGGGTTGAAAACCACTGCATTACAGAATTTTCAGGCCATTGCTACAGCTGATCACTGATGGATCCTGGGGATGTTCACAATGGCTGGGAATTCAGGGGTGGGCTGTGTTAAAGCAATAGCCAGCATGCGATTTGCTTTCAGAACTCTTGACACTCCTTTCCGAATCAGATCAATGAAGACACACTGACCAGTGCTCTCAGGATCAGCAAGGGTGTCTTGGCAAATCAGAAAGTCTGGCAACCTGTTGGTAGTGCTACTTGTACAGAATAGAGTATCACTGATCCTTGCACGTTGGTCCTTTGGGCCCCTGGGGAAGCAGCACTTGCTGGAGCACAGGACCCTATCAATTGTATTGAACGTTTCTAGTTCAAGGTAACCAATCTCAAGGAAGTCAGTGGGAACGGGATCCTCAACCATTGGGCAGTCACGCTACGTATTTAGCTGCCTTCATTTGCACTCAAGGACTGAACTCTAGGCATGCATTGCATTGCTCACAGTATCCCCAGTGCTGCCTCCATTGCTGTCCCCCCGACTCTACCATGTTACGGCTGTGTTCTACTGCCCGGTTTTGTAGTGCCTGGTCTTGCTGCCTTGTCAAGTTGTGCAACTGCATCGTCCTGCTGGAGATCCCGTGAAACATGCGGTGTTCGGAGACATGCACGCACTGCAAGCCAGTTACATTAAGCTCCAAAAAGGGGTCAGGCTTCTCCAGGGTGGGTGGAAGAGAACCTTTTAAATTGGATTATTTAGCAGCATTATTGGCATTCGAGGTGGCTTTTCATTCCACCCTCCCACCCGTAAAGTGCTGTCAAAGCAATGACAGCAGGGAAAGCACCAACAGGTGGGGTGTGAGGAATAGCTGCTGGCTCCCAGTCGGCCAGCACACAGTCAGCCCAAGGGATGGTAATGAAGCACATTCCACCAGGAATCCGTTCTGTGGCACAGTAAAGAACTCTGGTCATAGACTGTGTGGGGATCGGATAGGACACCCCTCAGTTATACACATCAATACGTTTTAAGAAAAGGGGGCACTTACCTGTCCAGTCTAATGCTCCACCTTCCTCAATGTCACAGGTGGAGAATGGAGCTGCAGAAATCTGCACTGTGAGGGCTTGCAATAGCAGCATTAGGATCACTCCTTGGATCTGACTGCACAGAGAGAAACCATCATTGAGCTAATCTCCTAGTCTGGATTCATCAGTTCCATAGCCAAACCAGGGCCACCCCTCGGACAGATGGAGTCTCTCCTTGCACAGCTAGCTTCTCATCTGTAAGCGGGGACGGGGACTTTACGATTAATTCTCCAAGGGCCTTTTATCCTCTTGTCTTGTATGATGTAGATACGCTACCCAAAGGCAGTTACTAGGTTAAGCCTTTGTTTCGTGTGTAGACAAGAATACAATTAACAAACATCCAGTAATGTACACTTTTGAAAACTGTATACACAAATGTACAATAGGCAGCGACCACGAGCACTTAACCAAGCACACAAGCCTACGCGAATGGCAGTGCTTCTAGTGTGTGGAGGATTGGATCCCAGAGATGTGCACTAGAGTACGAATAACAGGATGCTACGGCTACCACCACATAGCCTATCAAACCACACCCTTTTGGACTGTTAAGAGTGATGGTTTGGCCAGTGGTAGAGCCTTAAAATTCTCTTCCTCACTGCTCCAGTTAGCAGAAAAAACCTTGCTCCCACCCTGCTTATCTTGGAGTGGGGCCATAACAAACCACACGACCAATCAAACAGAGAAGCCAATTGTGACAAGGTCTGGTAATCCCTGCTTTAGACTCTGCAGGGTGCCCAGTGTTTATTGTTTTCCTGAATCTTTCTCCTGGCCCATGGGCCAGTGCACCCCTAGTTAGAGCACAGAGCAGTAATGTCAGAATCTCCATTGTAAATTCAGCACTACTGCATCCCGTTAAAGGAGAACCTATCTCTAAAGCACGTTGCCCAAGGCACAGCCAGGCGACTGTTGAAGGAAGTGTTCCAATCCCATTAGCTGAGCGAACAGGTATCTAAGCCAGTGGAAGACCAAGTGTGATTGACCTGCGACGGATGCTACCATACTTCTGTCTGTCCCAGAGGAGCATTTTGACCAAATCTGGGCCAGTGGGAGAGCAGTATGCAACATCGTCTATGCTTCACCTTGAAGTTCTCCCCACTGCTTAGGGACCTTCTGTTTTTTTTGCTGGGGACATAGGTTTTCATAGCTCCATAGATTTCAAGGCCAGAAGTGGTTGTCTAATCTGACCTCCTGCATGACAGGCCAGAGAACTTCCCCAAAATAATTCCTAGAGCAGAGTTTTTTAAAAGAACATACAGTCCTGATTTTAAAAGGGTCAGTGATGGAGAATCTACCACAACCCTTGGTAAATTGTTCCAAACTGTTACAAATGTAGGACATATTTCCAGTCTGAATTTGTCTAGCTTCCACTTCCAGCCATTGGGTCGTGTTAGGCCTTTCCCTGCTAGACGGCGAGAGGTAGAACATGATCCAGTGGCTGGAAGCTGAAGCATGGGGCAGCATGGTCTCTACAGGTTTCAAAGCTAGCTGTTAAGAGAGGCTGTCTCCCAACGTCACACAGAGCGGGATGGATCCTGGGCTCCCATTTGACTTTCTCTTGGTCCCCTCCCATACACCAATCCCACAGCTCTCTTTACGTCGAGCTAGTTTTCTTTTGCAGCGATTCCTTTGAATAGCTCCCTCTGGCGACATGAAACGATCACTGCCAGTGGCAGTGAATCAGCTGTACAGCATCACCCAGCATTCACAGGGCGGCTGGTATCCTTTTACCTTCCCCCTCAGCCCACTGGCTGCTACCAGCACTGACGTCACTAATTGCCGTAGGTAACGGAGGTAGAAGAAACATAGCGCTCCGCTGTTCTTTATCTGCAAGACGCTGCTGTCCGTGGCTGAGCTACATTCCGGCTGAGTCTGACTTGGCGACTTACCTTGAAACAAAAATGAGGCCTGTGGATGTTCCCTCTCCCACCGGGTAGGAGCATTCCACCGCTAGCTCCATAGCAACAGGGTAGATAGAAAATCCAAAGAACCCAAACAGCGAGCTGATCAGAGCCAGTGGAACGGCCTGGTTCCTGAACTGAGACATCTGCAGGGAGAGAGAGAGAGAGAGAGTGGCCAGGCGTTACAGCAGCCTGGCAAGTCTGCGGGGTGCTTCGAGTCGACATCAGGCAGTCACCAATACGAAGTCCGCGGTATTTACCATTGCGGTTGGAGGCCTCCCCACCTTCTGTAAAGCTCTCAAATGTGACCTATTTGCATGGAACTGCGTGTTAGGGGATGGAGACGTTCGTTTTCTTGTGTGCTTGGCCCCAGCAACTCCTACTGACTTCAGTGGGACTGGGGCAGGTGTGTGTGTGTGTGTGGGGGGGGGGAAATCAGCACTTTTGGAAAGCCAGGCTTTTGTTTCATGCAGAGGCAATGCCCCAGCGGGGGCTCAGTTTGGCCTCCAGAGAGGTGGGAGCTCAGAAAACTCCCAGTGTTTAAGTTCAGTTTCTTTATGTCTGTGTCCCTGGGGCATCTGCAAAACCCCCAAACCAATTGCATCGACTGCCCTGATGAATTCGGCGTGGACCAAGCTCACCCCGGGTCAGAGCTAGTGGTGAAAAGCAGAGCCCAGTCCAGCCCGGGAAAGAAGAGCTAAATTGGTAAGTCAGGCGGTTCCAAGGGCGAGGGCCTTCTCTCCTCTCTGCACAGTTGGTCCTGACACGTCTCATTTCTCTCCAGAGGCTACTTGAGACAGTGCTGTGCAGAGTTTTCTGAGGCAGAGAAGGACACTAGGTGAGCTCTTTGGCATGTCTGTAGCCAGAATGCTCCACACACATGGCCTGTCCCCCCCCCCCCCACCCCCCCACAGACATGCTGATTTATAAGCACTGGGCAGACAGGGACCTGCCAAGACTCTGCATCTGCAATATCCATGTTCAAAACTGTCAAAGTACCCAAGGGATTCGGATGGCAATATTTTAACAGAAGTATCTGTATTGTCACAGCATCCGCCTTGGGCCAGAGCCCCACTGGGCGAGGTGCTGTACAAACACGTGGCAAAAAGACCTAACCCGGTTCTAAGTCGCTTAAGTAGCTCTCCCTCCTCAATATTTTAGTACAATATTAGGAAGTGGTTTTTTGTTTCTTCTGGATCAGCATCACTTCCGTTCTGTATCTATCCAGTAGAACCCCTCCGGAATGGAGGTTGTTCGTAACTCTGAGCAAAATCTTATGGCTGTTGTTTCAAAAGTTGACAACTGAACAGTGACTCAACACAGCTCTGGAACTTTACTATGCAGAAGAAAAATGCTACTTTCCCTTTATTTATTTTTTTAGTAGTTTATGTTTAACACAGTATCTGCCTATTTTTGGGGTTTTTTGGTCTCTGCTGCTGCCTGATTACGCGCTTCTGGTTCCAAACAAGGTGTGGGGTTGACCGGTCAGTTTGTTCGTAACTCTGAGGTTCTACTGCCTTAGTGCAGATGGATGCTGTGTTCATCACCCCCTCAGGGAAGGAGGGATCCGCCGGTGGAGAAGGCATGAACTGAGAGATCTGGGGTCTAATGAAGCTTGGCCACAGACATCTTGTCCTACGTCGGGTGAGTCACTGTGCCTCTCTTTCCTGATCTTTACAGTGGGGTTCTAAAGGTACTCGACTCACAGGGCTATTGTGAGGCATATTTCAGTTATGTTTGTGGAGCATGTTGAGATTTTAGAGACACAAGATGCTATGGATCTAGTGCTCTAGTATCAGTCCATTGAGGAACGAAGAGCCTGCCATACCCACAAAAATGGCCGTCCTGTGGGCCTGACGCTTGCCACGTCTACTTTACAGTCCTGTGCTCGATTTCCCATGGAGCAGTCCCACATTTAGGAGGGTTTCGCTGTCTCCGGCAAACGTTTCCATCATCTTTGTACGTATGGTCTTGTGCGCTACCTGGGATAAAAGCCATCAAGACTCATGTGTCAGGGTCTAAACTGATCTCTAGCTGAGTTCAGGAGATGGCTTCTCCTAACCCTGGCCTCTATGGGATAGGCTGCCCAATTAGATGCATTATACGGAGTTCCCTACCTTCCTTGGTCATCTGGTATTGGCCACTGTCAGAGTCAGCAGGCAGGATTAGGTGTTTAATTATACTTAGCAATTCGAATGCTTTATGCTCCCAAGGCACTGCCCCAATGTTAATTCATGCTCACAACGTTCCTGGGAATTAAATAAATTAACCCCATTGCTCCAGATTGAAAGAAGATGAAGCAACTGTTCCAAGGTTGCACAGTGAGTTAGTGGCAGATGCTGGAAATGGTGTTCATTGAAATGCCCCAATCCACGGGGAACAATCCCCCAAGTTATACTGTAACAAAGAACCCCAAACCTCATAAACAGCATCATCGTCAGTGAAAGCAACCTAGTAGCAGATTCCGGTGGCACCTTAAAGACTAACAGATTTATTTGGGCATAAGCTTTCGTGAGTAAAAAAACCTCACTTCTTCAGATGCATGGAGTGAAAATTACAGATGCAGGCATTATATAACACCACATGAAGAGAAGGGAGTTACCTCACAAGTGAAGAACCAGTGTTGACAGGGCCAATTCAATCAGGGTGGATGTAGTCTACTCCCAATAATAGATGAGGAAGTGTCAATTCCAGGAGAGGCAAAGCTTCTTTTGTAATGAGCCAGCCACTCTCAGTCCCTATTCAAGCCCAAATTAATGGTGTTAAATTTGCAAATCTTTTAGTCTTTAAGGTGCCACCGGACTCCCTGTTGTTTTTGTGGATACAGACTAGCACAACTAGTCTGTGATATTAGTTGCGGATTGAAGTCACAGTCTCTACGCAAAAGAATAAATGGACACACATCTGACATCAGGAATCATAACATTCAAAAACCAGTAGGAGAACACTTCAACCTCTCTGGTCACTCAGTAACAGACTTAAAGGTGGCAATCTTGCAACAGAAAAGCTTCAAAAACAGACTCCAACGAGAAACTGCTGAACTTGAATTAATATGCAAACTAGATACCATCAATTTAGGCTTGAATAGAGACTGGGAATGGCTGAGCCATTACACACATTGAATCTATTTCCCCATGTTAAGTATCCTCACATCTTCTTGTCAAACTGTCTGAAATGCACCATCTTGATTATCTCTACAAAAGTGTTTTTTCTCCTGCTAATTGCTCATCTTCATTAATTAGCCTCTTAGAGTTGGTATGGCAACTCCCATCTTTTCATGCTCTCTGTATGTGTATATATATCTCCTTACTATATGTTCCATTCTATGCAACTGATGAAGTGGGCTGTAGCCCACGAAAGCTTATGCTCAAATAAATGTGTTAGTCTCTAAGGTGCCACAAGTACTCCTGTTCTTTTTTTTGGAGTTACTGAATGTTTTATCAGACAGCTGAAGAAATGGGCTTTAATTTCATCTTCGCAGACCAGATGAAGTGCGACGCAGAACTTACGACTGCAAATGCGATGCTGGCTAGCGCAGTCAGGCAGAAACAGACCTTGGTGGATTCTATAAATTTTCTGGTCTTGTCGACGTACAGTCCCAGAAGGAAAGCGCCAAGTAACCCAAACACCGTGAACAACGCACCATTCAGGCCTGCAAAGAACTACAGGGGAAGATAAATGAGTGTCTGAGAAACTAGAATTAGGAGGTGAGAGTTTGTTACATTACTGATATTTAACTACACGGACAGGTTTATGAACAGTAGGTTGTAGGCCACCATAGTCTATTTAACATGCTTTTCCATTGTAGCCATCACACTATTCAAAACCTCCCCAGGACACGCATTTAGAATAGCAAGCAATTGACCCGGGTGATGACAGTCCCAAAAGATGTCCAGAGGAAGAGTTCAGATCCCATAGAGACGGGAGTGGTGTAAGACCATACGCAGATAAAAGCAGACTGGGTCAGTGCACCTATGCTGGTCATTTTAACATGGTATACATGGAACAGTGGAGCTGATTTTCCCCCAAAGCAAACAACTGTTACTCTTAAGCAGTCCCCATGTACCATTGCTTTCTAAGTGAATGTGGTAGGAGCCTCTTTAAGTGGTAGTCGTGTACCTCAAAGGGCAAAAACCCATTTTTGATATTACTCTGTTTTTAATAGAGAGCGACTTGAACGGCAAAGTTTCATGAATACAGAGAACCACGTGCAGTGGTACCCGTGTGTTTGGTGTGCTCCTCAACCTTATCTCCCTTCGGATTTTCCTCATCTCATTCCTCTTGTGCTTTGTCGTGACTTGTCTAGCCACGCAGAACACCATTGTTTATTCTCCGTCTGGCCGCCTCAGCCAGCAGGGCCCAGTATGGCCTTCCATGCACAGCCTCCCGAACTCCCCTTTGAACACGCCTGGAATTGAGGGAGAAGAATTCAGAGCTCACATCCTCCTCCCATTGCCCTGGGTTTACCTACTGCAATGGAGGGAGCACAGATGAGTTTTGCTGTGACCATGCTGTGTTGGAGACTGCATGCCACACAAACTGATGCTGGAGACCAATGCAAGGCTGAGCCACAAGAGAGGGCCTTGGGGGAGATGTTTATTGGAGAGTATAAATGTAGCCGAGAGGTGACCACCTCTGCTTATGTGCATTTGGCTAAGGACACATACGGCAATGAAATAACCCAGTCCACCTTGCTTTGAGTTTCCAGTTCCCTCTCACCTCTGTCTGAGCCTCTGCCCCATATTTGCACATTGGGAGAGGTGCATAAGGGACTGCATTTAGCTGCATTTAACTCCTATAAAATCTATTAAAAGCCTTTATTTTACCAAGTAAAATCCAGCAAGAGAAGAGTTTCATTCACAAATGGTGACGCAGCCAAGGATACGAATTAAACGTCAGATAACGTATCGTATTGAAAGACTGATGATGTACCAGACTAGTATGCTAGTTAGCATATCTCAAATACTGATAACCTAGTTTAGACAAGTGCACCGCATCAAGTGGCTTCATCTTGTTTTGATCACTGTAATTAGTGGAGGTTCATTTCAATCGTATGACAAATAATGCTTAAGATGCAAAAAGGCCTTACATTTGAATACCCCCTTACACACAGGATCTGTTCCAGAAGAGCCGAAAAGCAGGTGAACATCCCAATCCCTGCTCCAAAACAGACCATCAGGATGACGTATGGTTTATTTCTCAGAAGCTGCAAAGTTCAGAACGTAGGTTTAAAAAAAATAGGTTCAAGTTACTTGGGCAGCAAATCTCAGCACCCGCCCACCTGCTGGCCTGCCCACAACAACAGGATCGCTGAGGGTGACAATGACACCACACAGGCCAGGCAGTATGTACACTTGGTCCTGCCTCAGCGTAGGGGGCTGGACTTGGTGACCTCTCAAGGATGCTATGTTTGATTCCGGGGTTTACCTCTCTGCACTGTAGGACACTTACCATTTTCAAGCCTTTGAAAAATGGCTGCGAGGTAGAATGAGTGGCGCTTGCTGATGGTGGAGTTGGAGGGACCTTGTCGTGAACACCAACCGTGGCTAGGATGCAGGCTGTAACTGCAGGGATGGCGTACAGTCCAAGCTATGAAACCCAAAGCAAAGACACATAACCAGGTTGCCCGACTCCAATGCTACTGAATATATAAACCCAAATGACACTGCATACTAATTAATCAGCTTTCGCTTACCATCAGTGGTATATCTTTTTCTTCAGACACAAGTGTAGGGGACAGCAAGTTAGCGAGAAGAATTCCCAAGGGATTAGCTAGATTGAAATAAAAAAGACAATGTTTTTCTATACAAATTGAGAGAATGTTACACATTTACCAAAATGTCACGAGACATCCATTTCACAGCATCCTCAGCTTAAATGAAGCCATGGCTGGGGGGGAGGGAGATCAGGAACAAGACATCTGTAAGGTTACATCTGGAGGGTAAAACTCACAAAAATACTTGTGTTTTAGCCTTTTCTGGAAATTTTACCTGGAATTCCACTAGGGACATAAGACTAGGCAGGATCTCCTGGGTCACTAAGTCCAGTCCCCTGCTGCTGCAGGCAATCCCGTCCTATCATCCTGTTTATAAATTTGTCAAGCTTTCCCTCTTCAAGCTAGTTGGGGTGTTTGGCCTTGCAGAACCTCACTCCTCTGATGGTTAGAAACCTCCTTCTAATTTCCAGCTTAAATGTATTCCCGGCCACTTTACCTCCATTTATTCTTGTGTTGCCTTCACTTTTTGATGTAATTGTTCCCCCCAAAGCATGGTAAAAACACATCCGTCCTGTCTTTGAATAATTCTTCATCCCTTCTCACCAAGTTGCCCCAGTAAATGGCTTATGGAAGGAACAAAAATGAAGATGGAACAACTCTAGTTGTCAGTCCAAATGCTATCTGCCTGCAGTTATAGTACAGGCCCTGACGCTATGCAGTACAGACTCGCATATTCTTTGCCAAGTTCAAGTAAAATACAACATACCTCATTACTAGCTGACCCACTTTCAAACGTACCGGTATATTACAACATAATGTCTCCGCGGTCGTTGCCGCTAACTGAACATCTAATAGTTCTTTACACCGCTTGCACTTTCATCTCACTGTTGTAATGCAATTATCCAACTACACACCTAGCAGATTTCAGAACCAGATCAGAGAGGGTTTTTCACTGCAAACTTGAACAATTTGTAGACTTCTGTAAGCACCTTGCAGCTCAACCAGACAATCCAGGCTACCTCTGATTCCGTTTCAGTTTTTCCCATGACTACAGTGGATTCTGTTTAGACTGGTTAATTAGGGCCACTGGGGAGCCAACAGAAATAGTAGGTGTTGGGCAAGCTATCTTGGACCATATTCTAGTGTGTTTGCACGACACACTTACTGTTCGCATACTTATCAGTAATGAACAATACCTAGATCTGACACCACCATTTATTTTTCAAGCTGTCACAAGGCAATTTTCCAAGTGACATTCCATTAAAAATAACAGAAACTCGTCACACACTATACAGATTATATCCCACATTGTAAAGATGCTCAGAGATTTTAAGGAATGTTGACATTTATCAGCTAGGTAGTCAATATTCATTGTAGCACGTACCTTTCCAGTGCACATTTATTCAACAGGAGAATAGCAGGGATGCTTTTGATTTTTAAGGATTTTAACTAGCTGTTGCACGCAACGGAGAGAGCTGTCAATAGCAATGCTGTGCCGGGAGAGAAGCTAGCTCTGCAAATGGCAAAAACCCACAGCGAAGGATGGCTTCTAGGTGCAATGTTTTATGATGAACTAGTTTCTGTTCACCGCCTTTTCGAACACCTTGGAAACGAACTATTCAAATTTAGGGAGAAAATTAAATTATCAGGTTTCCTTTCTTCTGTGTTCTTGGTTTTTATTTTCCCTGTCCTGCAGTTAATCTTCCTCCTTTACAGGACCAATGTGTATTCATTATAAGGTGGGAGGACCCTGTTCACACCAGCAGGGTCCACAGGGGGCAGTTAGAGGTCAACACTTCAGAGCGCTCTACAATTCACAGCCCTGTAGTCCAGACTGTGGTGCCGTGTAGACAAGCCCTTACACTGCCAAAGCAGCTAGCCGCTCAAGTCAGTTGTGATTTGGACACCTGCTGACTTGAGGAGCTGGGTTCAAGGGATGGGTTATGGTTTGGTGACTATTCTGAGCTATTAGCAGTCTGCATGGGATTTGCAGGAGGAAAATGGTCTTGTGGCTAAGGCAGAGGGAAGAGAGTGGGAGGTCTGGGGTTTTTACTCCAGACTTTCCATGTGATGAGTAAGTCATGTGACCTGGTCTCCATCTGCAACGTGGAGATACCTGCCTACTTCATGGGGTTTTGTGAAGCTTTAGTTCACTTACACGTTGCTGAGAGATCCCCAGGAAGGGCTGTAATTGTGAAGTATTGAGTGTGAATAGCTGACGTAAAGAGTTTAGTGATCAACTGACCAACGCAATCCCTATAATACAGCTCCACAGGCCACGTACACCACAGGCAGGTTCTGCTATGGAGTGACCTTGCTCCAGCTCGGCATGGTTGTAGCTGTTACTTACACATTGAAGAGATCATATTTGCTGTAGCTCTCTGGTGGTCTGGGAACCACAGGGCCGCTAGTTTTGTTGGAGCAAAAATGACAAGCGGCTGAGCCAGAGCACAGAGGCACTGTCCTATGAACAGGTACGTGTAGGTCAGGGATCCCAGACTCAGGAAGCTGATGACGCTGAAAGTCCGGATGACGCTCCCAACCATGTTCAGCCAGGCACTAAGTATCACCTACAACAAGTAAAGAGGGACTGGAGTCACTTGCTGACTTAGCTGCAGACTGAATTAAGTTCTAGGATGTGGCATGACTCTAGGTGACCAATCTGGCATGTCCCAGGGTCCTAATCCCTTCCCTGTCCTTCAGACGTGTGCAGAGGTGCTGGCAGCATCGTGGTTCCATCGGAAATACTCCCTTGTTTCATTTTCATCTTTCATTCCATACAGTCTCACCAGGGCCATCAACTGACTGGGGCTTGCATAGGTTGAAAGATGCACTCAGGTCTGCTGAGCCTTAGGTAGCCTGAAGCCACCTTTTATCACATGACAAGCAAGTTTAGTCCTGGCTAACTTAGGAAGCTTATGGCCTCAAAAGACACTGGTAAATGAGCAACAAAACCAGTTGGATGATTGAAATAAAGACAGACATTCAAGTTCCATAATGCATCTGGTCTCAATACTCTGATCAAGTTCATGTTTGACTAAAGTTTGTTTGGTATGGGGCAGAGACAATCTCTAAGTGCTTCATGGTAACTTGATGAAGTTTCAAGTTATCAGGAAAGACTTCGTGGAAAATACAAACAAGTGACGTTCAGGGAGAAATGTAAATTAGTGGCCCTAAAGAGAGAAAGGGGAAGGTATCAGACAGTCATTCCCACTCTCCTTTGTGTTTTCTTTTCTTGTTGTTCCCCACTTCATTTCCTCTTGGACCAGATTCTATTCATTGCAAGGTAGGAAGGATAGTTTTAAATACATTCATCTCACACAACGTTTAGTCAGAATGTCATGACTTGGGCTGCTGCGTACATTCAGAGTATTAGTTAGCAAAGATTATGCTTGCATATACAAAAATACACAACTTTAGTTAGTTAATGCAGCTTCTCATTTAAACTTACAGCACACTTGAGTCCCACGGTGTCGAGAATCCAGGTGGCCACCAGTCCAAACGGGATAGATATGAGAAGGTACACCAGGGACAGCCAGTTAATCGTATCCATGGAGACGTGGAAGTAGGCTGCTGTTTTGTCAGCCACTGGAGCAAACGTCAGCCATAGCTGCCAAAAACAGAACAGAAAGGTTAAGAGTTAACACTCGGTCGGCCAGGGTGAGCTTTGCCCCATACAATCCCTGCATGATTGTGCTTTGGAGGGACACCAGGTGGTGGTGTAGTTTCGCCCCCATTGGAAATCAGCCCCCATCCATCGGCTAGTCCAGTGCAAAGGCTAGAATCTCCGTTGCTGCTGTTGTCACAGTGATCAGCATTTTCTTCGCTCCTAGCCCACTCCCCAGAGTCGGGGGGGGGAGGGGGGAGAGCATGGCCACTGGATGGCACATGAATGGCAGAAGCTCCCCTGCAGGGCCAGTCTGCCAGCGCCCCCACCATGTCCCTCAGTGAGTCTTCTTCAGTGCAGGTGTCCCACCATGGTGACGATCACCATTTGGGTCAGATTCAGAGGTGATGGTAGGGAGCCTTCCCATTTTCTACAGTATTTACATCACCAGCTTAGGACTTCCTGGGCCAAGTTTTGTCATTTACCCTGGTGTAAACCCAGAGTAACCCCACTGAGTTACTGTAAGACAGCTGAGCAGGCCCCATTAGATTGCCTTACAGTCAATTAGACTGACATGTCCGTTACACCCCCGCTGAGTTATGTCATGACTGAATTTGGCCCTTAACCACTTATTACAGCTACAAGTTGAGAGAGACTCTAGAGTTTGCTACAAAGAATGTTACGTGGATGTTGTACTCTACGCACCCAGCCATTATGAGGGCAGAGGCATTTATAGTCTGCTCTTCGCTACCTTCCTCCCCTTTAAAAATGCAAAATACTGTTGATTATAATGCCAAATTTAAGGCCATAAGGGACACTACTATGATCATCCTAGTCTGACCTCCTGTGTAGCACACGTCATATGATTTCACCAAGTAATTCCTGCACTCCCTTGTGATGCAGGAATGTTAAATGTTAACATTTTAGACATCCCATCTTCACAATGGGAACCATTTACCTATAGCTGCAAGTCTAGCCGGTGGCATAGGCCAAGCACCGTAACAAGCTACAGGATCTTTCCTGCTATGTCAGTAGCAGATATCTGCAGCTATCCAGAACGGATGGAATTATCTATATTCCCCACTGGGATCATTAACAAGATCCTTCTTAAAAACCCCAATTTTGAGATTTAACGTTTCCTTCCAAATGACGTCAAAATATGCCCTTTGAAGTGGTTTCTAAAGCTCTGTGTATACTGCACGCTTCTTCTGGTGGCATGTAGACTATACACTCGGGTGGGACCCCCGTCCCCTCCAGCGTGGTTTAAGTAGCGATGTAGACGGCAAGACACACCTTAGGTGAGTAAAGACACACCGGAAGGGTGTGGGTACGTATGTGAATACATGTATATGGTTCTCTTCCTGCCCAAGCCTTGCCTGCCTGTCTACATTGCTATTTTTAACCGTGTAGTGTCCTGCTGCCTTCCTCCTGCCACAGCTTATTACTGACACTTGTAGCTACACACCGCAGTGTGGATGCAGCCTTTTTTCCCCACTGCAGCATGTAGCTACACATCGCCAAAACTAGAGATAGCCTAATTCCTGAAGATTCTTTGGGTAGCTACAACATAGTTTGTTAGGCAATTTATATGAATACTGTTTTATTAGTTAGGCTAACGGAGTGCTCATGCTGTGCCTTTTGATCCCATCAGCTTGTTTGCATTCAGAGTACAATGCCTTGGGAATTTAAATACAGGTGTCGCTACAAAGCCCTAAAAAGAGAGCTTTTTTTCCTCACATAATTTGCACGGTGTCAACAACTGGTTTAAATGGAGGTCTTATCCTGCCAGAGGAGCTTGTCTCGCACAGCGTTTTTCCTGCTAGTGAGAGACAGTTCTGGTAGCTTACAGTTTAAAATGTTTACCCATTTGAGATGGCTAAGAGTTGAAGAGTAACTACAAACTATCAGTATAATGGGGTTCATTACATCCAGCGTGTCAGTCCATTTCCGCCTCCATTCCCACGAAGGGAAATGTTAAGGGCACGTTGATCTATTTCTCCAAACGTGGTGCCTCCAGTTCTTCACCTAAATCTGACTTTGTGGCACCTGGATCATCAGCTTGCTTTGCTGAGTGCCCAGAATTCCTGTTGCAATCAGGTGCTCAGCACCGTTCAATATCAGGCAATTTTTCCCTGAGAGCATCCAACCATGTTGAAAAAACGGGGGCATTGTCTGAGTTTCAAAATGCCGGTGTAGACTTTGTTTCAACGTTTTTCAAGACCAGTTGGTCAACACTGAGAATTCATCCCACATAACATTTCAATTCAGAGCCTATTTTACCTGGAGATTGCACAGAATCATAGAAATGTCGGGCTGGAAGGGATCTTGAGATGTCAAGTCCAGCCCCCTGAGCTGAGACAGGACCAAGACAGGACCTAAACAGATTATAAATGCATAGAACTCTCTCAATCTCAGGCCTTTGTCCAGTTAATCGGGGGGGTCACAACATTTAATTTGATTGAAGCTATTGCAGCTCTTAAAGATAATCTTCAGCTTTCGGTGCAATATGCGCTGGATACATTTTGATAAGCAGGTTTGAGCACAGATTAGTGTTTTCCTTCTTTGGCAGGTTCTTGAAGAGCAGTCTCAGTCAGAGCTAACTTCAGCCACTGTTTCCAGGCCCCCGGGAGTAACCTCCTATTCCCCAGCACACCCCTGCAGCCACTGGCTGGTGAGTGAAGTCTTGGACGCATTCCCGCTGGAGCAGTCAGCACTGCTGAAAGCAGGAGCTTGCCCCTCCCTTACACCAACTGCAAAAAGCCACATTACACCTGCCTCCTGCACCGGAGTAGCCTATTCCCCGAAGCACTGGTGATGTGGGGGACCTGACCTTCCCAAGCACCCCATGAGATCAGGAGTGTGATTTCCATATTGAAATGGACAGAGGTGAAAGCCAACACTTCCAGAAGGGTCCACGAGCTTTGGGTGCCTTACCTGAACGCTCAGCTTGATGCTTTAAAGGGGCCGGATTGTTCAAACATGTTGAGAACCCCGCTGCTTTCATCCATCTCAACATCAGGTGCTAGCTGTGCATGATGGGACCAAACACCACGGCACCCAGAACTAGCGGACAAGCCATAAAATCTGTCTTTTAGAGTGTAGCTCAAGGGTACGCTGTTAGTCAGTGTCTAAGCCAGAGCTTGAACTCAAGAGTTCCTCTCTTAGTCCCATCCATGCTTGGTCGCCCAGAGTGTGTTGCTTCTCATTCGTTGTTGACACTAGCAATAAACTAATTAAAAGACTCTCTTGCCTACACGTCAAAATGTGCCATCTCTCCCCTGTGCCCTGATGCTTGAAGAACCAGAGGTTCCTATATTTAAAAGTGGGAACCTGAAAGTATATTCTTAAATGCAAGGCAAGTATTTTTAAAGGCGGGGACTTTTCTCCCCTGACATGCACTAACTCAAACAGTGGAACTGATGTTCACATCAGGCATGGGACTGGAGACATAGGCCCAAAACAAGTTATTTTTCTGCAAGAAAGACTCTGCAGATAGGATCTTATTCTAGCTTTCTTATAAGAGCTGCTAGTACAGCTGCAATAGAAACATTGACACAATTTAAAAATGACGATATGTAAAAACTTTGAATAGAAGATAATTTGCAGGAACCTGCAGAACCAGAAAGATCAAAAGGTTTTTAAATATGCAGTACAGCAACATTGCTTGGGTGTGCATCCATCTCTCCATCTTTTGTGGAGGAGGACAATCAGACAAACATTTAGGATGGCTATGGCTTTAAAGGAGATAATAAGATGTTCTGAAGTTGCCCCAGTATGCGCATCTTGTACTTAAAACTTGTTACTTAAAGAATCGCTTCTCAGTATGGCACTGCATTCAACTCAGTCTTTAGAAAGTGCTTCTGATGTGTGGGAAACAAAGTGCCAGCAGCAACTGCCTCAGAAGATGAGACGTACTGTGGTCTACAAACATGTGTGGTGGAATTTTGTTTTGTACAACTGAGAGTTTGAGATGGCTCTACTCGTTCGATAATCAAAGTAATTGTGCAAAGGACTCCCGCCTCAGTGGAAGTGTGATTGCTAAAATTGCCAGCTAGATTAGAGGGACTCACTTCAAGAAAGAGCCAAGTGTCAAGAGGCCAGAACTGCTGCTTCGCTAGCCAAGATAAATGTTTAATTATAACTATACTGTGACGGTACAAACAGGGAAATATTTTGCAGTGTTTGGGAGAATTAACACTTTTAGGCTTGTGTGAGATGATTCACATCAGGAAAACAACGCTGTTAGGAATTTGGATCCGCCTACCTCTTCCTTGCAGCCTGGAATATCCTGCCCCAATCCCAAGAGTGTAACTCCGTGGCCCTTGGGGTCTCGTAGGAAATCATATCTGCCTAACAAATTAGATGAAATCCAGAACCACACTCTGTCCACAATTTGAGTTGTTGGGGTCTTGTGTTTGGATCAATCGTATGGACGTCCCTGAGCCCAGAAGAGTTTGGACTGAGATTGGAAAGTCCTGGCATTAGAGGGATTCTAACCGCATGGTCCAGTTTGGGCCCCTCTATTCTACAGAAAAGTACAAGAAGATCTGAAACAGGGAGTTCAAGCTGAGTTCATATTTGCATGTGCAGTGTTCACTTTTGAGCAAGGAAAGTCCTGGATTTCTACTCAACCCCAATCATGCTAATCTTACACTCAAAATGTTTGTGACATTAGCTTTCCTCGTTGCCTTCTCTACGCTCTGAACAGAAGAACGACCATACTGGGTCAGACCAAAGCATGGGCGGCGGGTGAACTGCCGGCTGGCGGAGGCTAGCTCCTGGCTGGCCCCGCCCCCCACCCGAGGACCCTTCCCCCGCTGGAGCCCGGAGCCCCCCCCATCCCCGCAACAGCAGGTCTCTGCTCCCTCCACCCCCACGGCTCTTGACCTGCCTTGTTTCCCCTGTAGGCTCCCTATCTTCTTGGCAATCCCCACTTCATACTCAGAACTCACCTTCTCTCCATCCATTCTGAGGTAGCCTGAAATCCCACCTTTGGCTATCTT